ACATTGTAGCTCTCATGCTCTTTGTCTTTGAAGTTAATGACTGATAGAAAAACAGTTGATGTATAGGAGGAGGCCTTGGATTAAGGGGGTTGTTTTTTGTTTTCTTTGTTTGCTTCTTTTCCTCCCTTCCTTCCCTCAATCCCTGCTTCAGACTTCAACAGGGAGTTGGAGACCTTTTTCAGTCAGGATTTTAATCCTCCTGATAAGCTTTAGGCTTCAAAGTTACCTTTCCACAGTGAGGCCCACAATTTAACTGCTCTTAAATGAGGTGGGGTTTTTTTAGGTGTGTTTCTTCAGTGGATCAATGGCCAAGTAGTTGAGGTATTTGCCTACAACATCAAAAAGTTTCCCTGTTGCACTAAATTTCTTGTGGACAAGTCATTTAGCAGAGTACATCTGTACTGATAAATGGAAAGGGGCTAAGGAATGAGTATGAGCGCCAGACTGATCTGTGATTACCTACACTGCCTTTTCTTAGCTCAATTTTAGAGCAGCTTTCTCAAAAACGAGTTACTGTAAACCTTATTTAGTGCTAAGAAGTTCAAATCGGCACAAATCTGTGTATCTGGTCATGGGACCAAAGGTTGCTTTGTGGCTGTCTCTGGTTTAGCAACATGTACTTTGCCATCCATTCCAACTTTCAAATGGAGGCTATAAGACTATTGCTGTGTCGTGTATGCGCTGATCATGCTGACATCTCTGTTTTCTTACAGATCGGCTCTAGTGGTAACAAAGCCGGTGCTTTAGCAAGAACAATGTTGTTGACAGCGCTACAGGCATACAATGAATAATAAATTAATTCACTCTTAAACTGAAATGTAGCTGTGACTTTTGTATTTTACTTGATGTTGCTTTTTGTTTTATGCCAACAGTCAAAAACAAAAGATACACTTAAAATCTGGATGATATGTTGGGCTTAGTCCACAATTAAACACATGAGGCAAAATAGGCTATCGAGCTGAGCCCTCCAGGAGAACTGCTTAGACTCAGTAAAAGGGTCTTGTAACATAATTGGCTTCATAAGCATTAAACCTGGCAAAATACTTAATTTTGCTTAAAAAATGATAAACTGTGATGTTAGGTTAAACTGTATGCTTTCGTACTTTCTTAAACATTTTCTGTGTTTTAAAAGCTTTCAGTAATTTTTAAATCAAAATCCTTCACTGCAACATTGTTTTTAATTTTTATATTTTTAATGAAAAAGGTAATTTTCATTAGTATATGCAAATGTTGACACAAGATCCTGTGACTTAGCAGTCCTTCCTTTTTTTTTTTTTTTTTTTTGCTAACAAATGATTAGACCATACATATCTTAAATTATTCTATATACTTGATTCTATATACTTCTTTCATTACCAGGGAGCCTAATAACTAAAGTATGTTTTATGGATGATGAGAAAGGATCTCCCGCGTCACAAAATCCATTTGGCCGTATGCTAATCCTTCTTATAAGAGTACAGCTCTCTGCGCAGTCTTGCTGGGTTTCTTTCCAATGCTTTCAGTATAACTGTTTGCCGTTCTGCTGATCAGCAGAAGTCTGCTTATAACTTCTAGCTGTTCTTCTTGACCTTATTCTAGTTACTAAATACACATTTATTCTTATGCCAGTGTTGTTGTTCGTCTTAAATGAAAGATGCCAGGCTGTAGCCAGTGGGTGACTGCGGTTGACCAGAAAAGTTCCTGCAGCCTGAGGTTCATTTTTCTGGTATGGAATAGGGAGTAGGCTGCAAGCCAGGTGAGTTGAGTGGCTTGCAGCCTGTTCCATGTGGGCTGCCTTCTCGATGCTTCTGGGCTCCTTTCTCTAATATTTTTAGCTGTCATTGAACTGAAAAGCACCCACCAGTGGTTTTGCACAAGGGATAATTCTGCCATGTTGTAGAAGTATAGAACCATACCTGATTACCTGATGCTTCTGTGGCTAGAAATGCTTCAGTCATGAAAGTGCTGTCTGCGTTTTGTTCATAAAGTGCATCAGAATAGAGCACAATGTGCGGGCTTTGTATCTTGGTGCACCTGTGCTGGTGACCTGCAACACGTAAAGTCTGTGCTTTTGTTGGATGGAGTAGAGGAAAGATTATTTCCTGTTTTTATATATACACACACACACACATATATATATATGTATCTCCTTTTGCTTTATTATTAGCATAAAACAAGAAGAGAGATTAAATAAACTGAAATGAAGATATTATTTAAGATTTTTAACAGAAGTTTGCATTCAATAGTTCCTTCTTTCCTGGCTTGCTTACTTCAGGTGTTCTTTACTTTTAATCCAGTGTATTTATAGAGACTAATCCAATCTCTTCAGTTTACTAGCTCAGTAAGTCAAGGAAGTTTTTCTTCTCCCTGCCAGCAAGAGATTAATTCATCAGAAAACATCAGTTACCCTTCCTTACATCTCTTCTTGTATTGAGGCAGCTTCCTTGAATGTGGCTTAGTATTGTGTGAAGTCTCCAGTGCTTTCTACAGTAACATTAATGGTTCTGGATGTGTAATGGAGGCATCTTTTTCTTTCCTAATTTTCTTTAGATTGCAGTTATCTTTATATAGCTACAATTTCTGTGGCTTGTTATTAAGTGTCATTGACAAAAATACCTGTTTTTTCCCCTTTCTTCCCTCCAGCTTACAGCATCTTCTCTTGAAAATGTATGTTCTTTCCCGTTTAAACAGTATCCCATTTATGTTGTTCACCAAGTTGATTACTCAAGTATAAGAGTTGTCTGTACTTTCTCCCCCCACCCCACCTCTGAATCTCAGTGCTCTCTGCAGAAAACTTCACTGGAACTTCTTTACATTTTGTATGCCGTAAATGTGGCCTTGGTCCAAGAATAATTTATATGGTTGCATTTGGAAAGACTGAACTGTATTTAGTTAGCAAAACAGTCATTATACACATTTTAAATTTAAAATAAGCCTTTTGAAGTCTATTCTGCTCTTCAGTTGTTGAAATACACGTGGGTAGCTGGCTGAGTAATCCCTTACAAAACAAAAGTAACAGCTAGAACCTCCCATCTGTAGCAATGCACCTTTTTGTGTGTGTGTGTGTGTGTGTTAAATGCCCTTCTTAGGACAGAAAATACCACTTGTTTTTATAAACACTGTACAGAAAATCAGTAATACCCTTAGTGCAAGATATTACTCTCTTTGTTTCGTAAAGCACAACTTTAACTGTTAAAAACATTTCTTCACAGTTGTGTGTGTTGCTATTAGTTGATAACAATACATTAAGATTTGTCAAAATTCGTTAAGTGTTTTCCCTTAAGTCATATAGTGAAAATGTACCGAGTTGATAGGTTCAGGCCTTTGCTTAAGTAGATAGAATGTTAACTGTACTTTCTAGCACCTTGCATATTCTTTTTTGAAATCATTATCAGAAGTAAATTTAGGTGTTTTTTTTTTTTTTCCCTTCTTCCACAACTAGCTAGGGCTTTTTTATAATGGAAAATTTAATATTGGTGCCTATTCTTCTGATGCTTAACTTTTAAGACATATGTCTTTGTGTTGTAATTAGATTTGATGGTTACGGAGTTAAATTCCATGTCGGCTTGGAATCTTCCATCCTATATCTAAAGGTTATTAGGTGATAACCATAATGAACCAGACTTCGTACTGAGCAACTAGATAGCTTTCTGCTGATATATACAGTATTAGCAATCAGTTAAAAGACATGTTATTATAAGGTAATGTTTGTTTAGTTTAATCCGAGAAGTCTCATTGATTGTTATTCCCATTTGCAGTAATGGAACAAGTGCAGGATTCGGTTACGCAAGAAGATGCAAACATTAAGGCTATTAATGAAGAGTACAGGAAAGCCTTTATATTTATCAATAAAGGACTGAACACAGATGAACTGAGTCAGAAGGAAGAGGCAAAAAATTACTATAAGCAAGGACTGGACCACTTGCTTCGAGGAATCAGCATTCCCTCGCAGGACCCTGCGTGTGTGGGATCCCAGTGGGAGTCTGCCAGGGAGATGCAACAAAAGATGAAGGAGACCCTCCAAAATGTTCGCGCTCGACTCAGTGTTTTAGAACAAGATGTCTCCACTGTAAGACATCAGGAAGCAGGAAGTCCTGCTGCAACAGGTGTCCCTGCTGAGGTGCCCAAGCTGTACCCTTCTGTTCCTTCCGAAGAGAAGCCAGAAAGACCTCCTCCACCTACTTCTCTGCTTGCACCCAGCCAGCCACCAGCGGCCAGCAGAAGTGTTGCAAGTGCGAGTGAGGGGCAAATTCCAGCTATGAGTCCATCAGATCCAAATCCTCTCTGTCTGCCAAATGAAGCACCTCCTGCCTACACGCCTCAAGCTGCCGATGGCCATTTTACTGTGTCTTATGGCACAGACTCTGGGGAGTTTTCATCTGTAAGTGAGGACTACTACAGAAAGTGTAACCAGCCACCTCCCCTTGAAAATCTGGGAGTGGATGCAGACGAGCTGATCTTGATTCCCCAAGGAGTGCAGATATTCTTTGTGACCCCTGATGGGCAAGTTAGTGCTCCTTCATATCCTGGATATCTACGCATCGTGAAGTTCTTGGATGCAGACAGCGAGATGGCCCAGAATCGTCCACCTGCATTTCTTCAGGTAACAAATAAAGCATGATAAAACAAACAAAAACATCCTTTATTTCTATTTCAAAAATGTCATAAAATTTAAAATGGCTGTCAGCTTAAGTTTTTGCTCTTCTGAACCTAAAGCTATGTGAGAAAATCCAGAAGAATCTTATGGAGAAATGGTTATCTGCAAATGTACATCAGTATGACTTTTCTCAGAAATGTCCCTAGATGTTCCTCTGGTTCCTGGGTGTCCTTACTGTTTTAATTAATTCTGTTTCCTGAGGAATTTGGCCTAACATGTCTCTTCATGTTATAAAATTAACTTCTCTTTCTTCAGATAGAGAAGAAAACATGCTGACTGTAACATTTCAGTTTAAAACAGACTTTGTCTGAGCTAGTGATAGTGCAGTCAACTTGGAGAGCTGATTAATTCGGAATGTTAATCTGCTCACAACTACAAGAGGAAAAGACTCATTATTTGGATTTTCCAGCCTGTGCTTGCTTCTCTGGACATATTCTGTAACATAGGTGGTTTCTGATCAGTTTCTGACTTTGGTTCTTGTTGCTGCTACAACTGTTGTTTCTTGGAGATTCTCTCTGTGAAGAGGAAACTTTAAGAAACAGGGGGAAACCCTTTGAGGTGTTGGGTTCTCTTCATTCCCTTCTACCTCTGCTGGCATTCCACATCACAGCCAATCACAGCCTTCTATTTATTCTGCCATATAAACCTGTCCTGGGATCAACAGGAAGGTACATGCACTGTGAATCCTGATTTGACTGACTGAATATTTCATCTCTGTCTGTAACAAGGCCTCAATTAAGAGGCTACCAGGCCGAATTAAAATCCCGTGAGAATTTCCCTATGTTAGACTGTCTAAGCTAATCAAGGATGATGTTCTTACAACCATGGAATTTTTGTTTTTATTTTCAGGATGGCATAAGGAAGGCTTTTATTTTACTTAAACTGTATGTTCAGTGCTTATGGGTACTTTTTGTCATTGATAAGATCCTTTAATTTGTAGAAATAATTTTTCCTTAATTGTATTTATCTTTTCCAGGTTTGTGACTGGATGTATCCTCTAATGAGCAATCAGTCTCCTGTCCTGTGCTGCAGCACTGGAGTCTACATGTTCCCCGACACAATGTCGCAGGTGCCAGGGTCCTACGTGGGAGTTGTGTTGTCCTCAGAACTGCCAGCAGCTGACAGGGAGCTTTTTGAGGATTTGCTAAAACAGATGTCCGATCTTCGAATCCAGGTAAATCCCAGGGCTACCTCTTTTAAACCAATAATAAAATGTAGAAATGATCAACATATTTTCCTAGTTGTACAAAACTTTTCAGTTTTATATCTTGTTTGGTAGACTCAACCATGTGAAATGATGTAGACAAGATTAAGCACATAGGAATCATGTATGTACCATGATATGAGGGAGGATAGAAATTTTAAAATCATAAACTGTAAGCACAGAAAAGAAATGGTCATTTTATGTAATTTCATTGCTTTCCAGAACAGAACACAGACACAAATGACAAGTTTTCTTCGGGAGAAAGAACTTTTATTTTTTTGTGAGTGCATGCCTGTATCACATGCATACACTCTGTATATGGTTTTGATGAGACCATTCTAGGAATATTGTTTCCAAATATGTGAACATGAAAAAAAAGAGAAAAAAAAAAGTCTAAGCAGCTTCAGAAAAGAGCTGTGAAAATACCGAACACCTCAATCTGCCTTAAAATGGATTTCAGGAGTAGTTTAATCTATTAGCAGATTACTGCAGCAGCCTTACTGTAGCAGAATTTTAAGCAGAGTGAAAATAAATTAAAAACAGAAAACATAATTCAACAAAGGCACAATCCGGTCAGATATGCTGATTGGAAATAAGGTGAAAACTGTCAATGATGGTTATAGCAGAGCAGTGGAACAGTATTTCAAGAGGAGTGATAATCAACAACCACTTAAGTCAATAAAATTATATCTTTTCTTGAAAGACACCATCTTGTTGAATACTAAGACTTGAATACAGTGACTTGGAAGGAACCGGTTTGCAACATTTCACATGGGTGGCATTTGGTTATGTTATAAATCCTGTTCAGTTCAGAAGGATTCCACTAATTTGCTTCAAATGTAGCACACATTTGTGTGATGTTTTGATTTTTTTTTTCCAGTGCGAGAGACACTGGATAAAATTCTATGATCTATCCTGTGTTAGAAATTCAGGTTATAGTAGTCCCTTTTTGTCCTAAAATTGCATTTTCTGTTAATGTTCCCTGATATAATGTCACAGGTGCCAAGATCTCATGAGAAAGTAGGGTTACCTTCAGAACTCCCAGCAACTGTGAGATCACATTTTGAAGATAAGTTAAAACAGAGATCTGGCCACAAAGTCCAGGTAAATTCTGGAACAGTGATTCAATATATATATACCCCTTTGGTAGTGGAAAATTATAAATTATAACTGAAATACAACTTAAAACTGCTGAGATTCCAGCCTTGGTTGACAGGCTGGAATTGACAGATTGAGAGGCTTCCACCAGTTCCCACATGCCATACTTCCTGATTTTTTTTTTTTTAATTTATTTTTCTCTCTTGGACTTGAAGCTTCTCCAGTTATTGCAGGCTTCTAAATTCTAAAAATCAGGAGTAAGTTTCTGGAATTTTAAAGACTTTCCCACATAACCAAATCAAAATTTTCCTTTGGGCAAAACATTTCAAAGCCTGGTCTGCTGGCCTTTTAGCTCTGTTTTGCATAGTACTCTGGTGGATCTAAGTATGTAATATTTATGCATGTTATAGAGTTGTATTTCACATTAGAGAACCCATTTCTGCTCCTTAGCAGTGGCTGACTGAACCTTTTTCTATGTGGTGACCAAAAATTTGTTATAAATAAATTATATATTGGAAATACTTTTTTATCCATTTTGTTTCTTGATAATTACAGCTCTGTATATAAAGATAATTTCTGCATCTCTTCTGCAAAATGGTCACATGATAAAGACAGAAACATGAACTGAAAGTGAAATGTCACACTGCTGTCAAGCAGTAAGGGATGGTTTGCTATAAGTTGGTGATACTGAAAAAAGAATGATAGTATAATACAAGTGTATACAAAATAGTGGTACATTGTTAGCCTTCTGGATAGTAAGTTACTAAGACTTAGGTTAGTCCTTCTTGTCTTTTTGTTTGTTATTTCAACAGTCCTCTTTGTGCAGGATCCTATATTTATGAGATTTCAATGTAATAGCAAGTATAATTGGTTTGTGTTTTATATTCTCTTTATAGCTTTCATCTAGGAATGCTCTCATACAGGCTTTTCTAGAAGAAAAAAACCTCTTTGTTCTTTTATCCACTATTAATCAGTTCTGTTTTAAAGTATTGGAACCTTTTTATATTTACATTGTAGAATCTTAACTAAAAAACTGAATTTATTACGTTTGTTTTTGTCTTTTCTAGTGGATATTCATACTTCTTTGTTTACAAACTGTCTAAAGTCCTGGTACAGTTGTTAGAGACACTAACTGCACTGTTTGCTAATTCCTAATGACTGTCTGCTCCAGAAACACTGGGGTGTGAGAGGAATTTGCACAGAATTTGTCCACCCACGGGCAGTTGTATCATGAACAACTTTGAAGTGTTCCTTGGCTGCTCCAATCTGAAAAAGCATCAGCAGCACGTGGAACGAAAGATCTCCTTTATTTAGAAATTCCAGAGGAAAGGATGAGGCGCAAGCAACCAGAACAGCTGCATTCTGCTAGCGCAGCTGGAGGCTCTGACCAAGATGAAGAAAAGAGACCACAGTTCCCATCCAAAAAAAAAAAAAAACAATAGAGTTGACATTGCTCTGGGAAGATAAAAATGATAGATATACAAGGATCTTACCTTTTCTGTTAAATTGTACTGTCAGATACCCCTACTTTGTTACTTGACTAGACAGCCTTGTTGGCAGACAAGTCTTGTAACTGTGGCTGAAGAAAGTTTAAGAAAATGCTTAGTTGTTTGATAAGCTTTTCTTCATATACAGCTTTTCTGTGAGAAAGTGATGGAATCACAAACTTCCATTGACTTGCTGTACACATGTTGGAGGAAAACTGGCTTTCTTTTTTCTCCATAATAGATCTGCATGGTCATCTAAATAAATCTCTTGCTACCTTGTGAAGTAGATTCTGACGTGTTTACTTTCACTCGTTAGCCTGCAGAAGCATCTAGTGACACGTTTAACTTGCCTGAGACTGTGCATATTCAACCACAAGTTGAAGGAGAGGAAAAAGGGAAAGATGGAGTGAGAAGGTTGCCCATGGAATCTTGTCAGGTACTGTCATAGTGAGCGGATTACATTAAATAAAAAGCTCAGTGAGTAATACCTAAATGCATGTGTACTGGTAAGGGCTGAGTGGTCAGAAAGGGTTAGTCACAACTTCAATTGTAGTTATCTAAAAGTTACTTTTTGTTCTGTTAGAACAGTGCAGAATTTGAATCCCCTGTCAGCAAAGGATTTGTTCACAGCAAATAGTCTGGGCTCCAAATTCAAGTTTATTGCCCTGTATGAGTCAAAGAGCTGTGATGGAACAATTTTATTATATGAGCAGTTAATGTTGAAGTATGCATTTACTATAGTTTGTGCAGATAAGCACTAGAACTGAACTGATCACAAGAAATACTTGAAATACACAAGAAGCTGCTGGAAAAGCTAATGAAAAGAGAGAAGATTGGGTTTTACATATTCAGGATGCTAACAGCATCAAGATGTACAGCCTTATTACTGTTGACCCTGTTGGGAGTTGATTATCCATTAAAATATGTATATGTATTAAACTGAGATTTGGGAAAAGAGTGGCTATCATGGACTTAAAAAGTGATGGAAAAACGTCAGTGGTGTAGGAGTAGAAATCATGGCAGAAATTCATGCTGGCTGCTTGGGAAAGCGTGTAACTGCAGCCTCTAATCTGGAATGTTGCTGAAGTAGCAGTGTGGGGAAGCTGCAGAAGAAAAGGCTGTGAAATTCTGCACATATTAAGAAAAATAATCTGTTTTGAAGGTGCATCTTGGGTAAGCTGGGGCCTCATGAAAGGAGCAGAGTATACTGGCAAGGCTATCCACAAAGGAGCTTCCAAGCTGCGGGAGCATATTCAACCAGAAGAAAAACCTCTGGAAGTCAACCCAACTGTAGCGAAGGGGCTTCATGTAGCGAAACAGGCTACGGGAGGAGCTGTAAAAGTCAGCCAATTTTTAGGTAAAATGTTACATCTCATTATTTATTCATGAAGGTAAAAACATTCAATTATCTGTAAAATGACAGCTAGTCAATGAACTAATTTTAGGAATATTTTTATTATAAAGCATGCTTCCTTTTATAAAGAAATAGTTTGCATAGCAAAGTATTTTAACAGTTTGTTTAACATTTTTTCTGTCTTTTTTTTTTCTTCCTCAGGTTTTAGACAGTCAATTCAAAATGGCTTTTTTTTTTCTTAAGTCAATCATGTATCTGAAGTTACTAACCTACAAAGTGGACCAGTGTGTGGGGAGGTGTATGGTCAGCCTAGGTATAGACTTCCATGTAGAACTGACTGGTGTTCAAAGATGCCAAGTAATCACAGCAGCTGTCAGTAACTTCATTCTGATATTTATGTTAGGATTAGTGTCAGCATTTTTAATTCAGTTGTGCTGGGTACAATAAAACTGCTTTGAAGAGTTGGAATGGCAGTAAGAAAGACAATCATAAGTAAGATTTAAAATTGTAAGAGACTTGTACAGAAGGCAAGTGAGGAGAACTCCTAGCTTGTTCCCATCTGCAGTTTGGAGATAACAAAGTGATGGAAACAGCCACTTGAAATCAGAGCATGGTTGAGGTTGGAAGGGACCTCTAGAGATCATCTAGTCCAATCAGCCCTGCTCAAGCAGGGTCACCCTGAGCACATTGTACTGGATCACATCCAGGCAGGATTTGAACATCTCCAAGGAAAGAAACTCCACAGCCTTTCTGGGCAGCCTGTTCTTGTGCTGTTACCCTCACAGTAAAGACGTTTTTCCTCATGTTCAGATAGAACTTCCTGTGTTTCAGATTGTGCCTGTTGACTCTTGTTCTGTTGCTGGGCACCTCCCCAGAAAAAGTCTGGCCCGATTCTCCTCCACCAAGGGAAAGTCTTCCTTTTCTCCAGACCTTCTCCCTTAGTCTCCAGGGCCTGGGATTCCTGAGGACTGACTGCTCTTAGCAGTAAAGACTGAAGCAAAGAAGGCTTTGTCACCAGTGTCCTTACACCATTCAGTAGCAGGCTCCCATTTTCCCTATTCTTCCTTCTCTTGCTGACATACTTAAAGCCTTTCTTGCTATCCTTGAATTCTCTTGTCAGATTAAATTCCATATTAAGTAAAAGTTTATGACAAGCATCTCTTTCATCCGAAGTGCTTTTAGCCACAGACTAACTTACTTTTTTGGGGAATTGGAGCTGTTAAGAGTTCAAAAGTAAGATTGCTTCTATACCCTTTGGGCACTTAAGTGTACATTAGAGTCTGTTGACTCTCAACATATTAACAGAAGTAACACCTTGGACTTCAATAAAGCTTGCTGAAAACAAAAATAAGAATGTTTAAAGAAAAATGTTCTGTGTTCTTATTTAATAATCTGCATGCCATTATTTTACCCTAGTTGAGGGAGTGTGTTCTATAGCAAGCTGTGTTGGAAAGGAGCTGGCTCCACATGTGAAGAAGCACGGCAGCAAATTAGTTCCAGAATCCCTTAAGAAAGACAAAGACGGAAAATCCACTTTTGATGGAGCGCTGGTGGTAGCAGCAAGTGGAGTTCAAGGTAATAGAAATTCATTAGACTATTTTTAATTGCCTATGCTGATTTCAGTGCCATGAACTCAAACTGTTCATTTTTACAGGGTTTTCAACAGTATGGCAAGGTTTAGAAAGTGCAGCCAAGTGCATTGCTAAAAGTGTTTCAACTGAGACTGTAAAAACTGTCAAATACAAGTAAGTTATGTTTTTATTAGCTTCATTTTCAACAAAACATTGTTATCATGTGTGAATACTGTCCAACAAAGTTTGTGGAAGTACAAGAAAAGTACCTAAATATCTGCTTTGCTCTAGTTGTGCACTGTACAACATGATTTTAAGTATACCTTGGTGCTCTTCATGCAAATATGAAATGAATCAATGCATCAATTGTCATTTTATATTATAAAAATCATTATATATAATGTCATTATGAAAAAAAACATACTGTCTGAAAGCAGTCAGTTCTGATCCTTAATTTATGTGAACTTAAATTTTAAGAAAATTGAAGTGACCTCGACTGTCAGGAGATCAGACCAAAGTGAGGAGGTACAAAAATAATTTTGTGTAAGGAAATCTAAAGCATAAATAGCAATAATTAGAGACTATGACAGGACACACTAGTCGCAACTTCGAAGAAGCAAATGTTCATAGAAAATGGTAGTGCGGGAAGAAGATAGTTACATTTGGCAGCTTGTTGCTAGGAGAATGGAATGGACAAAGTTGGTGACCGTGTTTAGTAAGAGGAACTAGGCAGAATTATGAAACACCTACAAAATATATGAAATATCCCTCTCAAAGAGCAGTAGGAATAATGAAAGCTGGAAAGTAAGCAAAAGCACCTAGGTTAAATGGAGTTGATGATGAGTGTAGCAGAAGAGATTTTCAGAGGGGATGTTGGAAGGGCACACAGACCATTAGCAGCAGGAAGCAAGATGACAAGGTAAACAGCAGGATACGGAAGTTAGTGGTTGGACATCTCGGGTCCCGTTCTAATGCACTTCAGATAGGAAGCCAAAGACATGAGACAAGATAGCAAGCTGCTCGTCAGGGCTGCCTTATTGCTCACATGTTTGCTTTTGATAGGGCTGCCAGAAGACATTGTACAAGTACTCTTTTCACATAAATTCATATCAATGTTTTTGTTTTAGGTATAAAAATAGGAAATAATGAGACCAGCGATCAACAGTTCCTAAGATGAAAAACAATAAGTAAATAAATGCTGCAGTAAAATGGAATTCACAATATTTGATAGTTGAGGATTTCTTCCGTCTTTTGATTCTGTTCTATATAAATATATTTAAGTTCTACATAATATCTCTTTTCAAGCTATCTTTTGCCTAGGTGACAAAAGATAATAACGGAACATCATCACAGGGTCTTTGTGTAAAACAATTCAGCTGAAACGTCCTCTTTTCTGATAGAGGCATGTTCATCATAAGTGTAAGACGATCAGAAAGGGGGCAGGGGAAAACGTAGCTGAGGAAGTACTAGCTCTGCAAAAATACCTCGTTTCTAACTTACTCCCAGGTTTTTACAAAGGTATGAATAACTACAGTATCTGCATCTGTTCAACCTTTTCCTTTTTTTTTAAAAAAAAATAGGCAATTGAGACAGGCAAAGTGAAAATCAACTATCAAATATTTAAGAAATTATTAGTTTCGCTATTGGATGAGTTTCTTTGAAATGACGTTGCCTGTTGTACTGATATTACAGGCAGTTACTGGCTTATTAATCCTGAGGTGAAAATAACTAATCAGGTTGGCAAATAATTTACTGCTATTTTGCTGTGAGACTAAATCTTTACAAACCAGTTGTCAATGATTCAAAGCTGTTACTCTATCAGAGAATGAGAGAAAAAAAAAAAAAAAGGTCCATTCAGTTGCATTGTTGGTTCCAGCTGTTATCTGTAGTGCCTACTCTGCTGATACTGTATATATATATATATTTTCTTTTTTGGTAAAATCTAATAGTTTTGGGATCCCTTGATATCCCGTTCTCTCTTTATCCTTATTTTGAGGGCCTCAAGGAATTTCTGGTCAAAAGAAGAGTACTGCCTGAAATATTTCCTTTTGGCCTGGTTTGGCTGATTACAGTGCTCTCCAGGGAAATGTTGAACTCCTGGAAAAGCTGGAGTTACTGCTCTGCTCATATACGTCTGTCCTCCTTCAGTGTACACTCTCTACTACTATGGAGATATTATCTTTCTTCATAAATGAGTAATTTGTTTAATGAGGATATGTGGCTGCTAATTTCCCCCCACAAGGCGGGGGGATGATGAGGTTATACGTATCAGTAACTTTCACCGTATCCTCAAGGTCATTGCTTTGAGGCTTAGTATAGTTTTTTTTCTTTTTCCTCTCTTATCTCTTTTCCTTGGCTATTACATTGACTCCAGGCTCCTTCAGATAGGCCTGCATTGCACAACAGAATTAATTGCCGGGAGCCTGCAACAAATCATTTTATCTGCCTTTAGCATTTGAGCATAGCTGTTTGGGCACCCATGAGACCCGGGTGAATTTGCTTGGTCACAGTGGTGCACTGACATGTGAGACAGCTTTGGGAACTCTGGCCTGCAATGCCTGTCACAAGGCTGTGGAGAAACTCGGTGAAAGGCTAGAGGATACCTTGTGCATAAAAAATACTTTTTGCACTTGCATATAGACAAGCCTTCTTTCCTCATGACTGTGGGGAAGGACTGGCGGGGGGGTTTGAGGAAAAAGTATAGAAGCATACTGGTGTCCTTAAAGAGGGAGAAGATTATTTTAAATTTTGTTGTCTGATAGAGTAGTAGCTCTTACTCAAATGACTCAGTAATTTTTAATTTTACTCCTTAGAAATTTACACTGAGCACTTGAGAAATTAAACACCCAATGATAGTTAACAGCTGTGCTTAAATTGTTGCTTTTGAAAGAACTCTTACGAAGGGAAAAATGCTAAATACCTTCATCTACAAATCTGTTGTCTGTCTTAAGGTATGGAGAGGATGCTGGCCATGCTACAGACAATGCTATGAATTCTGCAATCAATGTTGGCGTGACAGCGTTTAATATTGACCACATTGGGATCAAAGCTGTTGTGAAGAGAACAGCAAAAGAAACTGGCCATGCTGTGCTGGATGAATACAATGTACTGGATAAGGAGAAAAAGGATAAAATATGATAATAATGAAATATTTCTCAAAGCCTTACACTAGCGGTGAAACTTCCTATTAAGAAGTAGTTATATTGCTAACCTGTGATTTAACACAAAGCATACTGTATTTTTCAAGCAACTATTACTTAATTTGACCTGAAAATGTAAAGGCTGAGGAGGTTGAGGTTTTTCTTTCTTATAAGGAAAAATGAAAGTCTCCTTAATTCATCATTCTGTATTGATGCAGAGATTTTGACTGTTTGAAGGGTGTGAGTTTGCAGTTCATGAACTTGCCTCTGTAAGCACTCTTTTCAGGATATAACATGAAACAGTAGAGTAATATAGAAACATTATTGTGAATATTTTTGTAATCCTTTATATTTGTAAAGAAGGTTGTGAGATTGAACAAATAGGGTTACTAATTCTGTCCTTAATTATATTTAGTTTTACAAAAAATAAGCTTTACTAAAACTAAGCATTATTTAATATGCTCTTCTTATTTAAGTATTTTGTTTTATTCTTTTGTTTTCTAGACAATTTCTTTTCATAAACTCTAAAAAGCCAATCTTATCCAAAGTTCATATTGGAAGAAATGAAAGACAAATCTCAGGTAACTAGATAGCCATTCCCTTCAAAATTATTTTTTCATGGAGCATCTGAACAAACCAAAGATACCAAGGATTTCCTTTAAACAGAGAGTACCTGATCTCTAGATAAATGTATTTTTCAGTTGGCGCTATAAATAATATTCAGAGATTATTTGAAACTGAGATTTTTATATGGAGCAGTGCATTTCTGCATAAACAAAATATTTTTTCTGTCAAAACATTCGAGAGAGGACACAAGAAATGCCTCTGCACTCTGTACTTTTCACATAGTCCACAGAGAGTCATAGTATACATCATTTCTAATAGAAGGCATAGTACATATGCTATCTAATAGAAGACATGAACTATTTGCTTCAGGAGATAGTTCCAACAGTCAGCACCTTTATTCCCATGAATTCACAGCTGCACAAGGTACATCTTTAAAGGATATGAAGACAAGCACCTTGCTTTGGATGTGTATGGAATATAGTAGACACTACTGTGTAGCTTTGTCATCCTATTGTAGTGTGAAATAACTCCACGTAGAACAACTTGATAAGAGCCGTCTTTCCTTCTGAGATGCTTTTTCACTGCTGCTTATTTAAATTAATTTGAAGTTTAAAGTAGGTTTTAAAGCTGCTATACATTCTAGTCTTGACTGGTCTGGTGGCAAGGAGGATCGATTTACAACTCACCTTCGTATCAAATAATGGGAGAAAATAACTTGAATGACTGTTAGAAGTGGTATTTGTATATCAGATTTAAAAAATACATTAATAAAAATATACTGGAAGAGTAACATGTAGCACATTTCGTGGTAGTTATTGTAGGTGCATATTTTAGCCTGAGAAAAGTAAAATAAAGGGACTAACCACTTGAAATGTAATGTGGACTGATTTACAGAAATAAAAGCTAAATTAAAATTGATTAAATTGTGCTCAACTTCCTTATAATATGAAGCTACTGTATGGACCAGTGAATGGAAAAACTAGGACTTCTGAAGTTCTAGAAGAACAAGCAGTCTGGGAATATATCTGCAATAAAACCTCATCCTCAATTACGGCTGAAATGTTTCACAGTAAAAAGACCTGGCAAAAGTACATTATAGCAGTTTTTGTTCTGTAATCTATTAATGCTGGTAGGTGTGACCACTGAGTAGTACAGATTTAGCATTTGCAAAAACACTTTTGTTATGGATTGCATTTACACTAGGAATGTATTTTATTTATATCTTCCTTCACCCCTTCCACCCCTACCCCACATTTCATTTTTTGCATATAGCTCAAGTAAGCTTCTCCCCAGTTCCTATTCCATATAAACCAGTTTTCACATCCTGAGTTAGCTCAGAGCTTCCTTTTATACCCTCTACAAAGTGCACTACTTAAGCCTTACTCTTTAGTTATTTTTCATTCACAGCTTTGTTTGCTTTGCATTTAGATGTTGAACATTGCTCTTTATGTAGTACTTGAGGCTGACAGAGCTGGTCCTGTTCAGCCTGAAGAAGAGGAGGCTGAGAGGGGACCTGATCAGTGTATATAAACACCTCGAGGGAGGGAGGGAGGAGGATGGTGCTGTCCTCTCTTCAGTGGTGGCCACCGATAAGACTAGAAGGAACGGTCACAAACTGAAGCACCAAAAGTTCCACAGGAGTTTAAGGAAAACATCCTTACCGTGAGGGTGACAGAGCCCTGGAACAGGCTGCCCAGAGAGGTTGTGGAGTCTCCTTCTCTGGAGATCTTCAAACCCGCTTGGACGCAGTCCTGTGCCACCTGCTCTAGGTGACCCTGTGTGTGCAGGGGGGTTGGACTAGATGACCTCTAGAGGTCCCTCCCAACCTCAAGCATTCCATAATTCTACTTGCTTTGTAAACCGCATTAGTAGAACTGCTCTATTGCTGTTTCCAAATTTATTTATTGCTGATTTAAAGGCTTTTTTGCCATAGCATTTGACTTAAGTCTTGTACGGAGTTTACCTGCCATGTCAGTTCTTGCTGTGACATCCCCACCAGTCTGTTGGTTAAAAAGCACACAAAAAAACTGTTCTTGATCACAAATCTAGAATCTAGTATGGGAAAGGACTCTTCCAGATTATAGTGTTTATTTAATGCTTGTTAAGATGGAGGTGGGAAGGGAGAGAAGAAAAAAAAAAAAAAAAAAGCTTTGGCACTTCTAGGGCTCTCTGATTCAACCTCATTCACTCAAAGCCAGTGGTCAGGGTTGTATCTAGTCATGGCCATCTTCAAGGATGGTGGTTACACAGCTTCTCTGGGCAACCTCTGCCAGGGCTTGACTGTGATAGTATTTTTCCCTTGCATTGAATCAAAATTAGTCGTATGCATTGCTGCTTATCCTTCTACTGCACATCTTTGAGAAAGTCTGACTTTGTCCTCTTGGTCTTCCTGTCATGTAATCCTCTGTTTCTTGTTTGTTCGTTTTTCCAGTTGTTGTCCCACAGTGTGTACTGGTAAGTGGGGGTTTCTCACCCTAAATGAAGGGCTTCACTTCTGCTTTTGTTTCACTTCTTGAGGTTCCAACTGGAACATTTCTCCAGCTTGTCCAGGTCCCTCTGAACGGCCACGCTGCAGTCTGGCACAGTGACTGCTCCCTTAATTTGTTACCATTTGCAGACTTGCTGAGAGTGCACTCCCTCCTGTCGTCGGGGTGTTAATGAAAATTTAAGTCAGACTGTCCTCACTATTGATCCCTGAGTCCTGCAGCTGTGCTCCTCATCATCACACTTTAAACCAGCTGGCCCAGCCTGTTTCCCACCACATTCCTGCCTACTTACCCAGTCCATATCTCCCTGGTTTGGCTATAAGGTTACTGCTATACCTTACTTTTTAAGTAACTCCTTATCTGTTTCTTGCCTTCACACAACATGAACCTGTGCATTTAAGATTCCTAGTCTCTTTTTATCAAGCTCCCCTGTATTGCAATCAATTTTCCTGTCTTATGAGTAATAACAATTTTAACCTAAAAATCGTATTAAAAATCTTGAAATGCATTTATAGGTATCTGTATATCTAATTTTAACCTATTTATTTGGATTAAGGAACTGGAAGAAAACTTCTGTGTTGCAAGAGGCACTATTACTGTGGTAACTAGAAAGAATCCTGCTGGTTTTCAATTTTTAACCCACTCACATAGCACCTCAGTCCACAAGGCACCTCTCCCTAACTACAGGTCCCAAACCATCTGGCAAAGCACTTGGTCAGACCTGCCGTCCTGTGCTAACCCCACGAATGTGGCCCAGGCGCATCCTTATACACACTCACTGACCCGGTTCCTGAGAACTCGCCTAGTTAGGACACCTAATCCCTGCATGGAGCCTGGGAGGATGTCCCACTTCCCTGTGATTCCAGGTCGCTCTCAGAGCTCTTAAATATGCCCATTTTGAAAACTACCCAATAGGCTGGTTAAGTTAATCTTGAAACAGTTTCTTCAAAAATTGAAAAGAAAAATACCATGGTGGGTTTCTTTTTTGCAGGCAGTATATTCAACTGGTTATAAAAGCTAACTTAGGTCCAAGACTTTAAATTACTGTCTTGATGTGGTATGTGTTTTGAATATATGTCTTTAAAATATTCAGTAAGTCCTGAGGGCAAAATGAGCAGCTAAATTTAAATGCAGTTACAGTGCAAAATTTGTCCAAAATTATGTTTCTGATTAAGTATCTCAGACAATTTTGCATTCAGTCCGCGTCTCAAACGATAATTCACCGATTAGAATAATAGCATCAATTATAACTTGGGACTGTCAGAAATCACCTCCCATCCTAATTATATCAAACAAATGAAATTAAAATGAGTTTTTCTCCTAGCCAAGCTTTAGCTTCCCTGCTGTCCTACCCCGATACACTAGATCCTGCTGGACTGCTGGTCCAGAAGGAGGCAGTCTAGGGTTTTTGGCTGTTTTCCTCCTGTTTTTTTGCGGAGTTTGCAAATTGAACTAGCTCCTAGAGAAGACTGACAAGTGCCAGAACTGGCAGGAGGCAAGTGGCTGATGTGTGCCAGTAAATATGAGGATCAGGACTTTGCTGTTTCAACATCAGTAAACTATTAGACTGATCCATTTCAACTTTAGAAACTAAAGTTGACTAAAATGCACAATTTTTTTTTTCAGGGCCAATGTTTTGGGTGTCAATGCTGATTTATGCCATCTTAAAGAAATAGTAAAATCATATCCCTTGTATCAGACTTGGCAGCTGTACCCGCATGGGTACTATGTGCCTGCAAGGTTATAGCATATGACTTGCTGTTTGTACAACAAAAGTAAATGAGAAACTAAATCTTTTGTTTTTTGTCATGGTGTGCCAGTAATGAGAAATTACAACCCATCACCCTGCTAAGGTGAGGAGAGCCACTGAAGTGAGTACTAGGTCTCCCAAAACACTGAGGCAGTTTGACCACTCACGTCTTAAATCCCTTGTTTGAAAAATGCAACATCGAATGCTTGTTCAAATGCAGAACAACTTAATATACCAAATAAAATGCTACTATCTGTGAATCAATGTATATGTGCTTCAGTCCATGGCAATGAACACTGGTTATTTGGAGCCCCTTGCTCCTGCCTCAGGTTAGCTACTTGCAAACTAGTTTATGCCCAACACAGGTTACAGTTATCGAGGGCACTAAAATGCAGACTCGATGCTCTTTGCAGACAGGGTCCCGTTGTGCTGCACCCGCCTTCACATGTGGGTCAAAGCCTATATTTAAAACCGTGCTACTTTCCATCTGAAAGAAGAGTGAAAAAGAAAAAGTCAGCACATGTTTGTGTCCCACAGGTCACCCAGGCTCAGGGCGCCCGGACTTCGCCGACAGGACCAGAGCTCTTCCTTGAGGGGCCAAGGCTGTGTCGGCCTTTCCCGTTGTGCAGCCAGACCTTGGGGGATCCTCCGGAGGGAGGGAAGCAGGGAAGGAGGGAAGTGGCCTTGCGCTGAGCGAGGCCGTGCTGCGCCGCCGCCGTCGCCCTGCGCAACCG